TATCAGCACGACTGATGTCGCTCTCCGACGAGCCGTATTGACTCTTTTTCTTTCCTGCTCTCTCTCTCTCTCTCTCTCTCTGAATCAAGCCTACTCCCTAGCCAAGTTGCACATTATTGTCTAGTTTGCATGCTTTACGAGTTTGACGGTGATCAGCGAAGCCCGTTTCATCGTACTACCCGGAAAAAGAATACCCACACCGATCAGAGTATGCAATCTCAACGGCCCGGGAAACGTATAGTGTTAAAGTGCGGATGAGAACGGTTTTCGTAACTTACTTAGATTCATTTATCTTTTTTTCGACTTTGAGGCCGGTCGTGCAATAATTCCCTAATGGTGCACTACTCTGTCGTTCTTCTCAGTTCTCGATACCAATGTTTATGTGATTGAACTCTCATGTTCTGTTCACTCTTTCTTTTTATGCCTAAGCTGGAGCAGCTCTGGTTCAGTCTTTACTGAGCCCGAAGGCCTAAGCAAGATCACACACTTCTCTCAAATATGAAGTAATACGGGAAAGTTGAGTCCGGACAATAACCCATTGAGCTGTTTGATGAGCTTCTCGGTGATGAAAAAAAGCTTGAGGCAATCGGCCCGTGATTTAGTGTACTGTGAAAACCATGACTGATATAAGTACTGTGCCTAGAATGCCGCATCATGTTGTACATAAATATATGCCCTTTTTGGGGAGAAACATAATAATCGTTCCCCTCCCCCGTTTAAAGATAAAAATTTCCGAGCCATCGATGAGTTTCACACCCCAAATGTAACCATGAACTTGTACATTTGCACATGCCTTCGTGACGGATGCTCACACGACCCGCCTAGTGTGTGGCTGAATGCTCTGGGTGATGTGCTTGAGGCTCACGCACGATGGCACGCAGTTATATGCATTCATATTTTGCATTTGATTTTACAACATCCAATGTTATCGTCGGTTGATTATTTTGTTAGACTTCCGTTGTTATCGAACTATTACTCAAATCTTTGAGAGCCGATGTCTTTTCAAACCACTGTCCTTCGCTTTGCATAGCTAGCACGTATTTAATATTTTGTAAACTGCACTGTATGCAGTTTTATACCTCTTGTTTTTATTGTTCGGTACTTATTCCAATGTAGTTGTTTATCAAGCCGCGGGATCACGGGCTCCGGTAATGTCCCAGTTGTAGCCCAAGTACTCCTTTTCGACCCGGCTGGCATTCAGGCTCCATTGGCTAAAACGCGCAATTCATCTGGAGCCACTTTTCCCGACTTACTTATGAACTACGCAAATGATCGAATTGGCAAATTGTTTCATGACACTACCTTGGGCTTGGATGAAGCACGTATGCAAGCAGTAAGTACCTTCAAACGAAGTAATGCACATTTGGTGAGGTGAAAACGTTGCGATAAAAGATTGCCATCTGGCAGCGAAATCAATGTGACGACCTGTTTTGTGGGGTCAGGTGTTTACCCTGTGGTGACTTATGTCAGATGTGATTGCGACTATGTGGCAATCATTACGCCATCCCAGCCAAAGAAACCGAATTATACAAAGATCCAGGAGTTTCTCGTGTAGGTGTAGGAAGTTACCCTATCCATAGATAATGGAGAATAGATTCATCCGCTTTACTATCCCCTAGCACTATTGGGTTATCGCGGGGTAACGAAAAGGTTTTCGGCTACTGGGTTCAAGGTTGATCGACACCTAGTCTAAATTTCGTTGTTCGGACGGTCCAACACGACCGATTATTGCAGTTGTCAACAAGTCCCATTAGTTTACACAACTCCCCTCACATTTCGGTGAACAATTGATGTACGGTTTGCAAGTATTTACCGAATTGTAACGTTAGACAACTAACGTGAAAAACTGCACCCATTTAACTGAATCAGAGGAGCGGATAGCCAGTTTATTATATTAGGATTTTTACAAAAACACTTGTTCCCACAGAGACACGGTCTGTATCAGTAGATATTTATTGTGGAATTGCAAGTGTAAGTAACTATGCTGAGATCGGAGATAAAACTGAAATTGTGTAAAACAAAAATTAACAAAGTTCCTATATTACTAACATGGTTTCATAGCAATACGAAACGCGATTCGTTAAACTGAAAACAGAAAATTATTTCAGTTATTGTGAACACGTATAAACTCTCCAATGTCCATAGGTTATTTGTGTATGTTCGCTGATCGAATTAGACTAGGAAACTGAGCAATCAAATCGTGCCATGGACTAGTATACATAACTCATAGCAATGTACAAATAAGTATGTAAAGTTCCTGTTTTGAATGTGAATGTTAAATACTAAGTAGCACAACGTTGTCGAAAATTTGGTATATGGTCGATATTTCGGTGGCATGGGTAACATTACTTGACACAAGTTTACAGTCAACACTGGTCTTGATAAAGATTAATCATAGTAACCGGACCGTTGACTAATTATCAACTTTCCGACAACGCTATGTTATTGAATATCAGACATTTGCTTGCAACCTTTTACACATGTATCTCTTTCTCGATACACATTCTTAAGTATTTTTTTAGCATTTATAACATCCTCCAATGCCTGCACTCCAAAAAATCCAAACTAGTCAACATCAAGTTTTCTTCTCCTAACCGTTAAACATCCCCCCTCACCCACCAATCTATTCGTAATGCTCGGATGCTATTTATTATATTACAGTTCCTCCATCATTGGTACTACTTATCCGTCCTAAGCTCTGGTATTTATCTGATTACAGGAAGGTCTTTCTGTCAGTACGGTTTACACGAATTCGAAAAGTGCCGAATCGTTGGTTCGCCTACTGGAGGGAAATGTAAGTGTCCTCGTCTGCATGCGCACACAAGTACCAATGTACTTGTGCCTCTGGGGGTTGCTGTTTACTAATTCATACTTGGCATTGCCCTCTTCTTCTGTTTTACCCATTCGTTTTGGTGAGGTCAATCTACCGATGATTGGGGCACAAACAACTTGGGGTGGAAGAGGGTTCCAGGTCTGAGAATGACGCCTGCAGTCCAAAAGAGTTGGCTAAACTTCAGGCTTCACTATTTCATCTTCAAAATTTATAAAACCTGGAACTCTCTCCCACCTCAAGTTGTTTGTGCATCAACTATCGATTCATTCAAGTGGTGGCTCTATGAAGCAGTGAACTACGCATAACTGTTCAGCATCTGTAATTGAACGGTACTATTTAATTGTTCTACCAACCGAACCCAGTGTGTACAGATCCTATGGGATTCGATGAGTATGAGCTTTGTTATTTAACCATAATAAAAATTTCAATTTGACACATCGTTCGGCACGGTGTTGTTTGAGATATGGCATGTTCAGTATCGATCTTGCGAGTGTTGGTTTCATAGGGACTTGTTTTGATGGGTTCGTTCCGAGATGGCAAGCAATTAATACTGTCGGTCATCACGACAATACTGCACCATGACATGATATAATGGCTTGCGTGCCTCTCTGACCCTGCGGGCTATG